GATACAAAAAAACATATTTTGAAACTCAGAATTTACCCGATTGCGTAGCTTTTCCTAGCACAGTAAATTTTTGCAACTGAAATCATTGCAAAAGAGGCTCAAGGTTTGCTATTAAACTTTTTTATATGTTTACTACTTCATATAAATTAAATGTTCCAAATGGGTGTAAGATACATTTTTTTTTATCCTTATGCAGTATTCAATGGAATGAGGAAACGATCACAGGTTTCTTGCCGCGAGTACTATTCTTACAAGTTACAAATTAGGCCTTCTAGTAAGTCTGTGTTGCTTCATAATGGTAGACTTTTTCAACAATATGTTGTAGATATGTATGTTAAAATTGAAACTGCCAGATTAGACTATTTTCGTAGCAATCAGAAACAAATTCGTGCTGAACTTTATCAAGGTATTGTGGATAATGTTCAAAATGGGGAAACAAAAGGGTCAAAAATTGGAAAGAAGATTGTTCTACCACAAACTTTCACATGTGGGCCTAGAGATATGCTTAAAAGATATTTAGATACAATGGCTATCGTCCAATGTTATGGAAAACCAGATATATTTCTAACTATAACATGTAATCCAAATTGGCCAGAAATTATGCAAGAACTCAAACACAATGACGAAGTTCAAAATCGCCCAGATTTAATTGCACGTATATTTAGAGCAAAATTATAAGAGTTAAAGAACGATTTATACAAAGAAAATATTTTTGGTTCAGTTGTTGCTCATATATACATGATTGAATTTCAAAAAAGAGGGCTCCCTCATGCCCATTTATTGTTGATTTTCAATTCTGCCCATAAAATTTGTTGTGCTGAACAAGTTGATATGATAGTGTCATGTGAAATTCCCGATAAGAATAAATACTTGCATCTTCATTCTGTAATTGCAAAACACAATATGCATGGCCCTTGTGGAAACCTTAATCCAAAAAACGTATGTATGTTGGCAAGTAGTGGTTGTAAAAATAAATATCCTAAGGATTATTGTAACAGTACTATATTTGGTGATAATTCATATCCCTTGTATAGACGTCGTGATGATTGTATTTCTATTAAAGTAAGAGGCCAAATGTTAGATAATTGGTGGGTTGTACCATATAATCCTTATTTAAGTGCAAAATTTGACTGTCATATTAACGTTGAAGTATGTTCTTATATTAAAGCAGTAAAATATTTGTACAAATATGTATATAAAGGACATGATCGTATTAATTGTTTCGTAGGCAGAAATGAAACAGATAAGGAAATTAATGAAATTTTTGCTTACCAATCAGCTAGATGGATATCTCCACCTGAAGCTATGTGGAGAATTTTTTCTTTTAATTTGTCAGAAATTTATCCTACTGTTTACGCTTTACAACTTCATATTAAAGATCATCA